TGATAATGAAATTGGAGAGAGTGGGAAGAACCTAGCACTCAGACCACCATAGGGACCTAAATTGACAAAGTACCGGGAAGTTTAAAGAGTTGCAGCATTTTAAGGGGATTAAGGGCTCCTCTGGTGGCTCAGCAGTAAAGAATTGGCCTGTCAATGCAGGAGACTCCGGTTTGATCCCTGGGTTGGGAAGATTCCCCTGGAGAAACAAATGGCAACCCACTCCAGTATTCTTCCCTGGGAAATCCCACAGACAGAGGAGCCTGGTGGGCTACAGTCCATGAGGTTGCAAAGAGTTGGACACAACTTAGTGACTAAACAATAATAACATTTAAGAGAGATAAGCAACAAGGACCTGCTGTATAGCACAAGATATAGTCAATATCCTGTAATAACTGATATGAGAAAAGAATCTGAAGAAGAACAGATACACATACATGTATAACTGAATCACTTTGCTATGCACCTGAAACTTATACAACAGTGTATATCAACTGTACTTCAATTAAAAAAATAATAGTAAAATGAAAATTTGGGGGAAAAAAGGAGTTGCAGCCTTTTCAAAGAACTGGTATCCTGCTATTCCGGTATGCTTCTTCTAGACCTGCAAAAAGGCCCAACTGAACTAGCTTTTCAATTGTACTATCCATTCTTTCTATTTCTTCATCCTTTCCTATTTAAAACAAAACCGAAAACACTCAGTCTGAGTCTCTAAACAGACAGCCTCTTAATGCTTTCTTTCTCAGCTTCAGAGGTTCAGATTACTCTAAAATGTTTTCGTATCTTTTTTCCGAATTCAGTAGGTGTTAGAAAATGATCAAAGAGCTGCCTATTCCTGGTTCTCCAATTATAATTATAAAGTTTTCCAACGAAAATCCTAGGATCGCTTCCCACATTCTCACTGTCAAATACAAGTGGGAATTAGAACATTCAACCAATAAAGTTTCATCAGAAAAAAAAGAAAGGGGGATAGGGCACATTTCGAAACAAATTCTACTTTTTTTCTTTAAAAAAACAGAGGTCATTGACCAAGACAGATTTCCAAATGTTTTCTCTAATATCCCGGTGTATGAAACTTTGATTTAAGTGTTGAGGAAATTACAGGGATCAAACCATTCCCCAAGACTTCAGTTTCCAGGTTTCTCCAAGCCTTGAAAATTCCCCACAGGCTAATTACTGTTTACTGCTGTAGCCCTTCCTGCTTCTGTCTGTAACATTTTCCATCCTAAGAAGGGTCGTCCCATTCAGCAGCGGAGCCTGGTGACTGAGTGGCTGAATGGAATTACTACCAGTGGAAACTATGCTGCAACAGGGAGAGATAAAACAGCTGCGAAGCAGACCTCGGCCGTTTTTTCCATCCTCCCCAAGCAAAGTTAATTAGCATAGGGAAAATGACTAAGGTGTTGACGTCACCTCTTTCCAGTAGAAACTTACACTCTGTCCCTGTCCGCCTGCGAGTCAAGCACGGCTTGACTCAGGAATTTGGTGTCCAAACAGGATGCCCTGGAAGCAGTGCTTTTTTTTTTCCCCCGGGGGGCGGGGGGAGCCGGACCTCGTTGCTTTATAAGTGCCAGCTTGAGAAAGAACCTAACAGCTTCTGGTAAAGGAACTCCGTCCACTTGGGGCTTGACCGCGGGAGTCGCTGTAGCTTTCATTGTAAGAAAGCAAGATGCACTTTAGAAATTTTAACTACAGCTTTAGCTCCCTGATTGCCTGTGTGGCAAACAGTGAGATCTTCAGCGAAAGTGAAACCAGGGTAAGGCTTCTGATACAATGTGATTTTTTTTTTTTTTTTGAGAGTTTTCAAAGCATGATGTTAATTGGTACTATTAGCTGAGATAGTTGGTGGAGATGTGTGGTTCTCTTTGTGGGTTTGGGGGGTTTTTGAAATGCATCCAGAATGCTTTGAGCCTTCAGAATCAAAAGGTGTTGCCTGAGGAATTAGCTCTGAAGGAATTTTTTAAAGCTCAGTATTTAAAAATGTCTGTGTCCCTTGGCCAATTAGTAAGGCAGGGTTCAGCATGGTGGGGTGTTTGTTTTGTTTTTTTTTTTTTTTCATTCTGTATAGGTTGTAAGTAAACTTTTGGAGGGAGGACTTTTCTGACACTGCACAGAATGTTTCACTTTGACATCTCGAGTTCAGGATACTTTGATTTTATCTTAGGAAATCACTATTGTGGAGATATTTGAATGTTTGCAGTAATTATAAGGGCCTGTCTTCAACTTTCTAGGTCTTTCCAGGTGGAGAAAATGCACCCATAGCAAATAATAAATAGATAGCTAAGTTAAATATCCTACCTCCTGGAAAGCAGCTGTCATCAATGGTTATTAATATAACTTATTAATATAAATAGTGATTTTTAACTACTATGCTTTAATTCTTCATTTGATTAAAATGCCAAGATTTCCATCAGTAGCTGTGAAGCTATCTAACTGATCTCTAAAACAAGACTGTATATGAATGAATTCTGTGTGTTCTCTTTAGGGGGCAGTGATCATGTTATATCCTTATACCTAAAGCCATACTGAGACTTGGGAAGTTTTCTTTCTTGTTTTCTTTTAATCAAATTTAACTCCCTAATCATGTAGTCTGCTTACAAGTCAGAATTGTAGTTTTTAACTAGATTTTAGAGCACAGTCTATTTCTGCATGCGTGCTTATTAAGTTGCTTCAGTCTTGTCCAATTCTTTGCAACCCTATGGACTGTATGTAGCCTGCCAGGCTCCTCTGTCCATGGGATTCTCCAGGCAACAATACTGGAGTGGGTTGCCATGCCCTCCTCCAGGGGAACTTCCTGACCCAGGAATCAAACCCACGTCTCTTAAGTCTCCTGCACTGGCAGGTGGGTTCTTTATCACTCGGGGCACCTGGGAAGTCCAATCTATGTGTAAACGTACTACAAAGTCTATATATTTAATATTAGCCTTATGTGAGTAAAATCACTGTTTACTCATTTCAGTAGAGATGCCACCCAACAACTATAATAACAAATAAGATTATTTTATAAAAGCACAGTAGGAGAGCAATACAAAATTAACAAGGTAGTGTGGGTTCTCTTGCGCTCTGGTCCTCAGCCCTGACTTGCCGTCTAAAAATATCCATCAAAGTCATCTCTCTTAAGTTATGAATCATAACTCGAAACAGTTGGTCACGGTGCCTATGGATGAGGTCGTGTGAAATTCCAAATCCGTACAGACACCCTCACGCCCCGGACTCGCCCGTGCTCCGCAGAGGGGCGGAGACCAACCGAGTCACGCGTGGCCAGATGAACTCGAAGCTTGACCATCTGCTGCACATTTGCTCTCCTTCTGTTTCTCTGCGACACCTCTCCTGGGAAAGTCACAGACTTTTCCATCAACTAAAGAAAAGCCAGTGAACTGGAAGAGAGGAACTCTGCGAGCTCTTCCCACCTGCCAGGTGGAGATGCCAGCCAGGAGGGAACACAGGCCGCGCCCACATCCCTGCCTGATGGAGCAGAAACTGACCAACCACCCATCCATCTGGAGGCCCATCCCTTCCTCCACTTCCTAGCACCAAGAAGTCTCAGGGACGTTCTCCTCTTCTGCTGGAATCCTCTCTCCCCTTTGCAGAAACAGCATGCCCTCTATAGATTTCCAGGGTCCTTGCAGGCCTCCTTGTCTCACCAGTCACCTGGGTAGAGGATACGCCGCCTGCCCCAGCCCAGCTCTCAGCCACTCCCGTCGGCCTCTCACCATCCCCAGAGTTTGGTCTGCAGAAAAGACTCAGAAACCTGGTAACTGACAGCCCCTGCACAATCTCCTACAAGTGTCAAGACTGTCCATCAACACCTTCCCCTCTGGCTGGAAAAGATGGCAGTGGTCTCCCAGTTCCCCAAAACGACACCCCCATCCAGGACCCAAACCAGTGGTGGTGGGGGCGGGGAGGAGGAGCGGTGCTCCTGCAGAACTTTTCCCAGGAGCTGATGAAACAGTCTCCTGAATCTAGGCTTTTAATCATTGAACTCAGGCATTTCAGTTCTAAGATCTCATGCTGTTTCACAATGTTCACTAGCTCTTAAAACACTAGAGCTAAATGAGTACCTGTATTAAAGCCAGTGTGTAGAAACAGGTTCTTTGACAGTACACTCATTTTTAAAAACCAGTACTATTTTAGAGAGTTAAAAAATGACCGACTGAATGGGAAAATACTATTGGGAATTTTTTTTTTTTTAACTGCTTCCTTTACATTAAGAAATGCAAGGCCTTTTTATGCAGAGTGAAATAAGTCAGAAAGAGAAAGACAAATATCATATATTAACACGTATGTATGAAATCCAGAAAAATAGTCCTGATGATCCGATTTGCAGGCCTGTAAAGGAGACACAGACATAAAGAACAGACCTATGGACACGGTGGGGGAAGGAGAGTGTGTGATGATTTGAGGGAACAGCATTGAAACATACATTACCATATGTAACATAGATAGCCAGTGGGAGTTTGATGTAAGACACAGGGAACCCACAGTCAGTGCCCTGTGACAACCTAGAGGGGTGGGATGGGGAGGAAGGTGGGAGGGGCTTCAAGAAGGAAGGAACATATTTACCGCCGATTCATGTTGATGTATGGCAAAAACCATCACATATTGTTAAGTAATTATCCTCTAAATAAAAAAAAAAGAAAAAAGGTAAACAACCATAGGGAAAATGTACCTTTACCACCTATAGGGCATAAAAAAAAAAAGAAAGATGCAAGCCTTTTTAAATTAACTTTATTCTTTCCCAATTCAATTAAAAAAAATTTTTTTTTCAAACTAGCTCCAGTGTTTGAAAGCCCTAAGTAATATTTGCTGGACAGGGCATTGTCCTAAGTGGAGTGGTGGGATTCTGGAACTGGATTGGGGAGGATCATGGAACAATAGGATCTGAAGTTGGAAGTTCTTGAAACAATGAATGATTCAGTTTCTCCATAAGAATTGTAATGAAGCCGTCCAGTCAAAGGTCATGTGCAGGTAGATTCCAATTCCTTTCATTTTTTATTTTTCAGGCCAAATTTGAATCCCTCTTTAGGACTTATGACAAAGATATCACCTTTCAGTATTTTAAAAGCTTCAAAAGGGTCAGAATAAACTTCAGCAACCCCTTATCTGCAGCAGATGCCAGACTCCAGCTACATAAGACTGAATTTCTTGGAAAGGAAATGAAATTATATTTTGCTCAGGTGAGTAGATTTCACTGATACCCACATTTCCCCCTTCTCCCTCTCACCCTTAAAGTGAAAGAAAGTGAAGTCACTCAGTCGTGTCCAACTCTTTGTGACCCCATGGACTGTAGCCTACCAGGTTCCTCCATCCATGGGATTTTCCAGGCAAGAATCCCATGCCATCGAACCCGGATCTCCCGCATTGCAGGCAGACGCTTTATGTCTGAGCCACCAGCTTTCCCATAAAACAGCGTATATACACATTGTTGTTACCGGCACTAAGTTGTGTCCGACTCTTTTGTGACCCCATGGACTGTAGCCCGCCAGGCTCCTCCATCCATGGGATTTCCCAGGCAGGAATCCTGGAGTGGGTTGCCATTTCTTTTTCTAGGAGATCTTCCCAACCCAGGGATTGAACTTGGGTCTGCTGCATCACAGGTGGGTTCTTTACCACTGAGCCACCAGGGAAGTTCCTAGACACCCATTACCTGTATGTTGATTGAAAACTCCAAGAAATCATCTTCAAAGGGGCAAAATTCATACTAGAAATGTATCACAGCCCCTATTTTAAGAAGATAGTGGGGTGTAGTTGATCCCTGACCTCATAGGTGACCTTCTTGAGTTGAGTGATGATGGGAAAAAGAGTCTTTTTCTGACTCTGGAAGGTGGAGGACCACAGGGTAGTGGGCGTAACTTTGCTAGAACCCCAGACTAGAGCGGTTCTGGCTTTATGCAGGTTCTGAGCAGGGCTCAGTAGCCTGCTCACTTCTGGAGAGCCTATATCTGCACATCAATATGCCCTGCACATCAACCCACCCTGCACATCAACACAGGGGCTGCCAGGTCCAGTCTGAAAGGGGTGGTGGGGATGGGTTCATCAGGCAGGTAGCAAAATGGTAAGAAGTCCTTCTGGGAAGAAATCCTTCTGGTAAGCAGGGGTCTGGGCACCAGGGCAGTCCCAGGAGGGGTGGGGGGCTCCAGGGCAGGTTTGCTTTTCCTCCTGCCCATCACCCCCTTCCTGCCCCTTCCCCCCCTTAATGGTAGACCACCCACCTTCCAGGCAGCTCATAAATTTCCACTTGAGGATGTTATAGAAGTCTTAACAGCTTGGCAAGAGGGCAAGAGCCCTTCAGCTCCTGCTCCCTGGTGAAAAAGACCCCCTTGGGGGCCCTGAGTTCTCGGGGCAGACCCTGTAGAAGGGCTTCTGGACCCTGCAGGGAAGGCAAACTTGCCAGCCCTGCCTGGGTAAATTTGGAGCCGGATGCCCTGCCCCCTGGTGGATCCAAGCCTTAGACCTTGGATCCTTGGGAACAAATGCCCTTCTGCGTTTGGTGTGGTTCCATTTAAGTGATTGCTTAGACCCTCCCATGACCTTTTCTGGTTTATTAAAGTAAAAGACATGTTCACTGTGAAATTTTTAGGCGGTGGGATGGAGGAGGGGTGGGATACTAAAGAACAAACAAAATCCAAAGTGGCCAGATTTGAATGTAAGATGACTCTGAACAGCCCTCCATTCACTGGCATAACTTTTAAGTCCCCAGAACCAGGATCTCAGTTATTGTCCCTTATTATTTTTTTTCTTAAAATATGTATCCTAGAAGCTGGGCTTCCCAGGTGGTGCTAGTGGTAAAGAAACTGCCTGCCAGTGCAGGAGACAGAAGAGATATGATTTGATCCCTGGGTTGGGAAGATTCCCCAGGAGGTGGACATGGCAACCCACTCCAGTATTGCCTGGAGAATCCCCATGGACTGAGGAGTCAGGCTGGCTATAGTCCATGGGGTCGCAAAGAGTCAGACATGACTGAAGCGCCTTAGCATGCATGCACACATCCTAGAAGGTGGATTTATTTTTTCCTTCCTCCCTTTAGGCATCTGATTCAGAGCCCCACAGGGGGAGGGAAGCCTGAGAGCGTGGCAAGTCCCCATCCCTGCTCTGTCCCCCTGAGAACTGATGTCGGTCCTAGAGGTGTTGCTTAGCCTTTGGAGTGTCTGTGATATGCTATAATACCTCTGTAACACTAGGAGCTGTAGGCAATTGGTTCTGAGATCCCTTCTGACCTCGGCCACAGCGCTTTATTTTTTTTTTCCATCTGTACTAAAATTACCTCTACATATTTTCTATCAGTCTCAGTTCAGTTCAGTCACTCAGTTGTGTGTCCGACTCTTTGCAACCCCATCACCAACTTCCAGAGCTTGCTCAAACTCATGTCCATTGAGTCGGTGATGCCATCCAACCATCTTATCCTCTGTCATTCCCTTCTCCTCCTGCCTTCAGTCTTTCCCAGCATCAGGGTCTTTTCCAATGAGTCTGGGTCAAGCATTCTTTCTTGTGGTCCACGGTGCCTATGAGTCCCTATCCCGGGAGGGTGCTCTAATCACCTTTGCATGGTGATTTAAGTTCCATCTCCCCGCCCCTTGTGAACCGTATGGTGATTCATCCCGGGCTGAGCCTGTGGACACGGCTGCGTCCCTGACCCCTGTCTTCCGCAGGTGGTCGGGAGGCGCCCTCACGCTGCCTCAGTCCTTCCCCCTTCAAGAAACACCTCCCTCTCTCCTCCAGACTTTACACATAGGCAGTTCGCACCTGGCCCCTCCGAATCCAGACAAACAGTTCCTCATCTCTCCTCCCGCCTCGCCGCCGGTCGGCTGGAAACAAGTGGAAGACGCTACTCCCGTCATAAATTATGACCTTTTATACGCTATCTCCAAGCTGGGGCCAGGTAAGCCCTGCCCTCGGGTAAGGACTAGGGGTGGGGGTGGTGAGGACATGTGGAGATCTTGTGCCCAGGGCGTCCATCAGAGCGCCCCTCTCACCCGGTCACAGGATGGATGCCAGCGCGTGCTGTGAATTGTCTCTGTTTGGCTTTCTGCCTCTGCATCAGGGTCACCCATTGCTGGGGAGAGTGCACGCCCGCCTGCCTCTGGCATCCTCCCTTAGGAAGTGGGGCAAGCTGGTCCTGGGGATCTATCACCGTGATCTCTCTGCATTGCATCACGTGACTCTCTCCTCTCACCCACTGAGCACAGCCCATGGTTAGGGGGGTGGGAGACCCAAGACCCCCCTCACAGGTCCTGTCGCTCCAAGCAGGGATGAGCTGTTGGACTTTGGAAAGGGGAAAATGGGCCTTTTCCCACTTCCGTTAAGTTTCATTTTTAGTCAAGGGAATTTTGTTCATCGACCTGGTCCTCACCTGCCCTTTTGAAGGTGTGAGCAGTCAGAGACCCATAGATCACAAGAGGAAAAGGAGCCCCAGACACACAGGCCCACAGGCAGGGGTGCTCACCCGCTGAGCTTGCCAGGGAATGAAGAGGCTCTGTGCCTCTGAAGGGACAAAGGTGTGAGCATTGGGAAGAAAGGTACTCTGGCCTCAGGCTTCTCATCCAGAAAATGGGTATTCCCTGGTAGAGTTGTGCGCAATATACAAGATCTCATGTAAAAAGCACTTCATACAATGCCTGGCTCATCAGCAGAGCTCAGTATCTGTTTTCTGGAAACAGTAAAATGTTGGTGGTTCCCATCCTATCGATAGGGTTTGGGTGAGCTGGAAGGTGCATGCAGGGGTCTTGGAGTGACCAGGTTTGAGCCCCACTTCTGCCCTATCCATGGGGCAAATGCAATAAACACCGAGGCCATCAGCTTTCTCCTTGACCAATAATCTGATAGATGTTCCTTTGAGTGGAGAGTTTGTTTTCCTGGACCATCGGCAGTTTCATATGAAAAAGGTGACATTGCTGTTAACACCTCTCAGACAGAAAATTCCCTCTATGGTAGAAAGCAAAGATCACATTACCCGCTGCTCACTGTGGCATGAAGGTCAAGTTGGAGGTGCCAGTGTTCCTCCGAGCAGCTCCAGGCTAAGGTGCATTAGCAGAGCCCAGGATTGGAAACTTCTGGAATGTTAGAGAAGGGAAAAGGGAGATGTCCACCTAGAGAAAGGAGTCAAACTGTCCCAGCGGCCGGAAGTGCTGTTAATGAACATTCTTTACACTCTAGAACCTACCGCTTTTTTTTACAGATGTCTTGTTTGAGAAGCCCTTTTAGAGAATAGACATCAGTTTGCTTTCAGTTTATCCAACAATGAGCTTGAATAGTAATTCTTATTTCAGCTGTGCTTTTCAGCCAACAAGATTGCAAAGATTTTGCAAATGTGATCCCATCCCCTTGCTTTCTGGATTATGCCTCCTTGGCAGGAGATAAAGATTTGTAAAGAGGATCGTGACCAAGATTTTGAGTGATACATCTGACCCTCTACCTTAACTTTCTGCCCCCTGAGAATATTGAAGCTCGTTCACCCTGTCAGTCCTCAGTCACTCAGTCACGTCCAGCTCTTTGTAATCCCATGGACTGTATGTAGCCCACCAGGCTCCTCTGTCCATGGGATTCTCCAGTCAAGAATACTGGAGCGGGTTGCCATTTCCTCCTCCAGGGGGTCTTCCTGACCCAGGGAGCGAAGCCCTGTCTCTTACGTCTCCTGCATTGGCAGGCAGATTCTTTACCACTGGGCCATCTGGGAAGCGCTCACCCATTCAGTGAAATGAAAGTCGCTCAGTCATGTCTGACTCTTTGCAACCCCATGGACTAATACAGTCCATGGAATTCTCCAGGTCAGAATACTGGGGTGGGTAGCCATGCCCTTCTCCAGGGGATCTTCCTGACCCAGGGATTGAACCCAGGTCTCCTGCATTGCAGGCGAATTCTTTACCAGCTGAGCCACCAAGGAAGCCCTTTCAGAGGCAGTTACAATAACATTCCAGTCTCACGTGTGGGCTTGAGAAGAGGCAACAGCTTTTTTATGAGTAAAAGCCCCTTGACTGAGCCTGATAAATTTCAGGCTGCCATGCACCAGCAGGACACTCCTGGTTTGAGGGGGTTGATAATCGTGTGAAAAAGGATGCTGTGGTCAAAAATGCTTTTGGAGCACCTGGTTCAAAACTCACATCTGTGTCTTTTGGGCAAAAAGGCTTCCCCATGCTTCCTGTCTCTAGCCTGGGCTGTGAGCTTCAGTGAAAGCCTTCAGTGGGGAGAGGTGCCCAAGAGGGCCTTACCTAATGCCTTTATTCACACAACGTTTTTTCCTAAACGGATGCCACTTTCACCGCACCAGGGAAGTCCCCTGGGCAGTTCAGAGAAAGCTTAGTGTACGTGCTAAAAAAAGCGAAAGTGTTAGTTGCTGACTAACCCGACTAAGTCGGGTTGTGTCCGACTCTTTGCGACCCCGTGAACTGTGGCCTACCAGGCTCCTCAGTCCATGGAATTTTCCAGGCAAGAGTACTGGAATGGGTTGCCATTTCCATCTCCAGCGGATCTTCCTGACCCAGGGATCAAACCCGGTCTCCCCCATTGCAGGCAAATGCTTTACTGTCTGGGCCAAGGAGACACCATCCAGAGTGTGTCTGGCTGCGTCCTTCAGTCCCCAGTGGATGCCCACAGAAGCTCAGTGGGCTGACTCCTGCCTGCACATCCCTCTGCTCTTGCTTTTTTTTGGCCCTCACCTCCTTGCCTGAGTTACCCTGCAATTATTTTCTTTCCCCAGGGGAAAAGTATGAACTGCACGCAGCCACCGACACCACCCCCAGCGTGGTGGTCCATGTCTGTGAGAGCGATCAGGAGAATGAGGAAGAAGACGAGATGGAAAGAATGAAGAGACCCAAGCCCAAAATTATCCAGACCAGGAGGCCGGAGTACACGCCCATCCACTTAAGCTGAACTGGCGCCCAGACGAAGACGTGCTCCAAACCATGCTCGCGAGAAGGCATCTTTTACTGTGGAAGCAGCCGGTCACAGCTTTGGAGGCGGCAGCCGTGACCGCTGTGGCGGAAATTCCAGTTCACGTTGCTCAGAAGAGAATCGAGGCTCCGTCCCCTGGTTCCAGCGCTGCGCCTCAGTCACTGTTCGTGGCTCCTGGCCATGCCCCGAGCCGATCACTGAGTTTGGGGTGATCGCGCAAGGACATCTGGGAGCATCTCGAGAAAACCAATAACGATAGTGTTTGTACTTGTTCTCTTCCGGTAGGTTCTGTCTTGGCCAGGGGCAGATTGATCCACCGACCCCGGGGAGAGTCTTTGTGTCTAATCAGTCTACAAGGTAGACTCTCTCTCTCTCCTGGTGGGAAAAGGCACCACGCGAAGCCACAAGGGGCCTGGTGCAGAAAGGTTGTGAAAGCAACAGTGCAACGTGGAAACTGTAGCGTTTCATTTTTCCCCTTCATGTTCTGATGTTTGTGCATGTATATTTCTCAGATTTCTCAGAACTAAGCTTTGTTCGTATATAGAGTTGCGCCATTGCTGTTTTACATCTTTTGGGGAGATAGGAAGGCATCTGCAAAGTCTATCACCTTTCCAGATTCATGACTGTCTTTGCAACAGCACCCACGGCAGGGTGGAGGGGATTCTATGTGGAATACACACACCATTCTGCATCCTGTCCAATGCAGCCAACAACTTGTGCTTTTGTAAAAGAAGTCGATCTGAAATTCCTGTGTAGCATTTCGCTTATAAAATTCAGAAAATAGCACTTTCACTGCCAACTTCTAGTGGGTGAGAAATTTTAGTTTAGATGTTTTAGATCAGACAATACGTGGGTTTCATTTCTTTCTTTGACGTGGTGGTTTATATAACATGAATCATAGCCAAAACCCTTTTTGGGGGCAGTAGTCATTTGAGATCATTGATTTTTTTACCCCCACTAAAACATCAAGATAAACTTGTAAATAAAGTCAACAGTATCTATTCACACCTGTTGTGCACTTGGGTGAGACATATATGGCCGTGGAAGACTGGTGTCAGCTGTGTTAACCTCCCTGTGAATTGTATGTTGTAGAAAATGCCTTTCAGATGTTTGATGGGACTTGAATTCAAAGCACGTGAAGTGGATAGTGGATATAAGAAGGGTGCAGTGCCTTTCCCATTAATTCCTGGTGGAATTGTCACACTAGGTTAATGTTTGTAATTTTTTTCTAGCTGTCCTGTGTATGTCTGGTCCATAGGTATTCTCTTTTGGCCTTACGATGCTGTTTAACAATGTTTGTCCTTTTGAAATACCTAAGGCCAAGTAACCGTGCATGCTTCGGAAAAGGGGAAGAGGGCTTTCTTTAAGAAGCAAAGGCGTTTGGCTGTTCCTATCAAGAAACTGACTGAATGGTCTCCAAACCCTGTTTACAGGACCTGGTGGGGTGTGGGGGACAAATGAGCAAGAGACGCTTGCATAGCCGTTCAAGTGTTCCTAGTTCAGTGCTTTTAAACTGGAGAGGCTAACCTCGAGATATTTTTTTTAACTGCATTCTCTAATAAATCGACACAATATGCTCTTTATGGAAAAGCTTTCCATTGTTTTATTTCTAAGGGTCAGCCTGTGAGCCCTTTGACTTCTACAGTCTCAGAAGGATGCACTCCTTTATCAATCTGGGTTTGAAAACTCCCAGTTCCTTGCTGTGGTTCACAGGCTGTTGGCCACACTAATGGGGCATCACGTAGCAAAGAGGAAAATGGATAAAACTGAAATCAGAAGTCTGGAGTGTTTCCTTTGTCCAGGAAGAGGATGCTGAGATGAACATCCCTTTTGCCATCAGCTCCGCTAAACAATGGGCTTCCCAGGTGGGGCAGTGGTAAAGAACCCACCTGCCAATGCAGGAGGCACAGAGACACGGGTGGGTTCCTCCCTGGGTCGGGAAGATTCCCCTGGAGTAGGAAACAGCAACTCATTCCGGTATTCTTGCCTGGAAGATTCCACGGCCAGAGGAGTCTGGCAGTCTGTAATCCACATGGTGGCAAAGAGTCAGACATGACTGAGTACATGTGCACATACACATACACACACCCCTCTAAACAGTGTTTCTAATTGTTAATTTGAGGAATTTTCTTTCCTATAGAAAATATGCCTGTGGAACATACTAAGCTGCAAAGGCCAGTTATGTTCAGAAAGTCTATCTGTAAGCCTCCTATCTGAATTTCATCTGGAACTCTTATCAAAAATGGTGGTGCACTCCTGACCAGCCCTCAAAGGCCTGAATAACGCTGTGTTTATTTTCAAATGATGTATATATGTGTACACATATATATATATATATATATATATATTTGTCTTTTGGGCTCAGACGGTAAAAGAATCCATCAGCAATGTGGGAGACTTGGGTTTGATCCCTGGGTTGGGAAGATCCCCTGGAGAAGGAAATGGCAACCCACTCCAGTATTCTGCCCTGGAGAATTCCATGGACAGAGGAGCCTGGCGGGCTACAGTCCATGGGGTTACAAAGAGTCGGACACGACTGAGGGACTTCCACTTTCACACTCTCTTATTTGCGAGTGATGTCTGCATCTTTTTCAAGATGAACATCAGGCATTTTTCCATGGAAATTCGCATCCTCCTCTGCTTTCCTTTTAAGAGCAGCCTCATTCTGTCATTCTGCAAGAGCACCTGCATATTTTAAATTCATATATGTTTGAAGTCTAAGCATGTTGGAAAATCCTCATTTGCATCAAGATGGTTGAATCTGACTGTTGAGAAGATTCGCTAATTAACCACCAGGGGAAGGAGGGTGAGGCTGTTTTTTGTCATCATGTTGAATAACCAGGAGCCACTGCAGAGCAGAACTGGATTGGGAAATGTGCAGGTCCAGGGTCTATTTCATTGATAGAATAAAATTGAATTGTGTTGTCAGTTAACTCAGATCTCCTGCAGGTCACTTACACAACTGGAGAAATACGGGTGGCTGGTCCCATTGCCCGGGAAGCCTTCAGATCCTAGAGCAGAAATCCACAAGTCGACAAACAGCCTCACTCCTGATGGACGATGTCTGACGAGTGGTTCTGAGTTCAGGTACCTGTGGCAGCCTTGGCTCAGATTCCAAAGCTAAGCATGCTCACAGTCTGGTCTCCAGGCAGATGGCTATGTTGCTGTTGGTCAGTCGCTGAGTCCTGTCCAACTCTTTGCCACCCCATGAACTGCAGCACGCCAGGCTCCTCTGTCCTCCACTATCTCCCGGAGTTTGTTCACACTCATGTCCATTGAGTTGGTGATGCTCTCTAACCATCTCATCCTGTGCCACCCCCTTCTCCTGCCCTCAATCTTTCCCAGCATCACAATCTTTTCCAATGAGTGGGCTCTTTGCATCAGATGGCCAGAATACTGGAGCTTCAGCTTCAGCATCAGTCCTTCCAATGAATATTCAGGGTTACTTTCCTTTAGAATTGATGAGTTTGATCTCCATGTAGTCCAAGGGACTCTCAAGAGTCTTCTCCAGCACCACACTTCAAAAGCATCAGTTCTTCAGCAAAGGCCCCTAAATCATGAGCGTGCCCAGGATTCAAGCATCTCTGTAGCCCTCGTAGTGAGTGGGCTCAGTAAAATGCAAAACAACAGACACCAAACAGGCAGAATCATGCAGAATGCATCCTTTGCCATTGTTTGGATGTGTTCCTTAAATAGATTTTGATAGAATATATTTCTCATCTGATGGTAAGTAGCTTAGAGCCATCCATGCCAGAAAAGAAAATCAGCATACTCAAAATGTGTGCTAAATCCTAACAAAGGGCGGTAAACGATGAGCGAAGTATAACATTTCATGGAGCTATTAATACTCAGGCTAAAAACATTGACTTGCAGTCAGCGAGCATTTAGGATTTGTCATTTCCAGAATATTGTGAGATTTAGTGCCCAGAGGAGATTTGCGTTTTTTGGAGAGCTTCAGTTTTACGTGAAATTGTACAGACCTCATCACTAACTAAATAGATCTTCTCAAATGTTGCAAAGGATCAAATAAATACACTCTATGGCCGTGTTATGACCAAAATTGAATCAGCAGCTGGAGTATGTCCTATTTTATAGCATTTAAAGAATCCTGTGGAATATTTATTCCAAGTGCCTATCAAGTAAAGTTCATCTAAATGTCAACAATTCAGATGGAAACTACATAAATAATTTACATTAAAATGATTTGAGAAGTTAGAATGCAAATAAAAAATACATTTTTTTTTCTTTCCCAGTTCTCCTGTCTTCTAATTTTAAAGTAGGACGCCGGGAATTTCAAATATGCCACTGCTTTTGGCAATCTTTAATTCACATCTGAAATTCTCACTCTCATGACTCACCAAATGTTACATGGCAATCAGGTAGATGAATTTTATTCTCACATACCTCATTTTCTTCAGCACTCCCTCCCCACTGTTCGTGAAAGGTCATTTTAATCATGACTATGCTTGTGAAAGACAGAGAAGATTATTTGCAAGTGATTGAGATGAGGCACCTACAGTCCTCCTCTCTGTTTTAAAGATTCTGATCAGAGATTAGATAACGTTCTACACAGCGACTAAGAGCCCAGTGACTGCTATAGCCCCTGCTCAGAGCTGCACCTTCCGATTGACTTTCATGCTCTGGTCATGTGGCATTTGCAGTGTTTCTAACTCACTCTGTCCTTGTCTCTTCCATGGGCCCCACTGAGTATGTTTCCTAAACATCACCCCACTGCCCAGCCCTGCCTGGGCTAACTAAACCCACAGTGATGTGTATCCCATGAGACTGGTCCCATGTCTTCCCTACTCACCTGTGTCTGAATCTCTTGCAGTTACCACTGTGCCCAGCCTGCAGGGCTCAATAAACATGCCTGAAATAATCAACCAACTCAACAATCCTTGGCCTCCATCTCCATTATTAATGTCCCCCCCTCCCCGAGAATCATTCCAAGCCACTCCTGCTGTGTCACCCATTGCACC